ACATATGGATCCAGGAGACAACGGAACAGTCTTCGAAAGATCCGGAACATCCGTAAAAGTAGCCAATCCACGAACCTGATCCAAGAGCTCCGTGTTTTTTTTTTTTTGGAAAACATTAGGAACTGCTGTATAAGAAAGAATTTGGGTCGTGACATAAACATGGACCTGGATGGCCATGGGACCGTCCTCCGGAAGATCCGGAACATTAGGAACTGTGATATTAGATAGAATTTAGGTTCGTTACATAAACATGGACCAGATTGCCATCGGACCGTCCTCTGGAAGATCCGGAACATCCATAAAAGTAATCAATCTATGAAACTGATGCTAGAGTGGTTTTTCGAAATTACTTCACACTGTCATATATAAATTAACAGGGGTTCTAACATAAACATGCACCCAGAAGGCCATTGGGTCGTCCTCCGGAAGATCTGAAACATCCTTAAAATGGTCAATCCACAAAACTGATCCTAGAGCTCCACGGTTTTTTTTCGAAAAAAAATGGAACTGTACTATAAGAAAGAATTTGAGGTCATGACATAATCATGGACCTGGATGGCCATGGGACCGTCGTCTGGAAGATCTGGAACATCCGTAAAATGGTCAATCCATAAAACTAATCCCAGAGTTCCGCGGTGTTTTTTTTTTAACACGTGGAACTGTGTTATAAGAAATAATTTGGGGTCATAACATAAGCATGGACCTAAATGACCATGAGACCGTTCTCCGGAAGATCCGTAAAAGTGGTCCAGCCATGATACTGATTCTAGAGCTCCGAGGTTTTTCAGCAAACATTTCGATCTGAGACATATGAATGACTTTGGGGTCGTGACATAAACATGGACTTGGATGGCCATTGGACGGAAGATCCGGAAGATCCGAAAAGTAGTTCATCCATGAAACTGTGAAAAAACGCAATTTTTTTTCGAAAACTCTTGGAACTGTGATATAAGATAGAATTTAGGGCCGTGACATAAACATGAACCCGGATGGTCATGGGACTTCCAAAAGATCCGGAACAACCATAAATTGGTAAATCTATGAAACTGGTCCTAGAGCTCTGCAGTTCAATTTCAAACACTTTGAACTGTGATATAAGAAATAATGTTGGGTCGTGACTTTAAAATGGATCCAGATGGCCATGGGACCGTCCTCTGAAAGATCCTGAACATCCGTAAAAGTGGTAACCCAAGTAACAATTTCCAGTTGAAGAAACGCTTTCGTTTTGATTTTGTTCAGCTGCATGTTGAATAATAATCGCACAATGTGTTCACCACAACTTTTATAAAACCCTTGTTTACACTCGTTTGAAGAACCTATACAACTGCAACACAAAGGTGTTGTCTAACGTATTCAGTAAAACGTTTACCCAAAATCAATTTCTTGTTGAAGAAACGCTTCCATTGTGATTTTATTCAACTGCATGCTTAATGATAACTGTACAATTTGTTTATTACAACTTCTGTAAAACTTTTGTTTACACTGGTTTGGAGAACCTGTTCAACTACAGCATTATATGTATACGCGGTATAGGAGTAGAAGCAACTTTTATACAACGTTTATAGATACATATTTAAACTCAAGCTTTATTATTTTGGTGAAAGCTCTTATACAACGTTTGTAGACACTTCTTGACAGCTGCTTTGAAATTTAGTGAAGAGTAAACCTGAAAGGCGTTTGTTGCACTCTTTTATGACTCCTAAATAATCATTGTACAGCAAGCGGTGAAAAGCGTTTATAGCACTTTTTAATGACTCCTTAATAACCGTTGTGTAAGTACTCACAATATTCACAGATTAAAATTAGTTTAACAATTGTCGTGGTACGCCAAAATAATTGCTTGTACAGTTTTTATTAATTTAATTTATTTGTGCACATTGAAAAAATATGTAATTATGCCATAATTCACATTCTGTGATCATGGAGAAAGTAGTAACAAGCATCGGTTTAATCTTTGATTGATATTTTTTCAGTTAATCTCTCTAATAATTAATTGAGAGAATTTATCGAGAAATGTTATCGTTGTTATATGATATATATCTTAAATTAATGTTTGCATTTATTGATAACACCTATTGTTTGTGCAACGTCAGTTATATGTATAACTACCCTACCCGCTGTAACGAGCAATACAAATAAACTATACAACAGTGTCTCGTATGCCTCCGCCATGGCAGGACGGCAAAACAATCGGTGTTCTTTATTATTAATCAATCCGTATCACAAAAACACAACGTAGGGATCCCGCCCGTGCGCGATCATATGGTGCCGTGACCAACCACTTGATACCGACGGGCAAACTACAAAAGATAGTGCACAACCATCCAACAATTGTGACGACACCGAGGACGATGATGAAGATGCAGCAGTGAATAGCGACATCGACTCAAAGAATCCCGTTTCACTTCCCGCTACGATGGTGTGGCCCTCAGGTAGCCATCTGGCAGATTATGTACGTTCCTGGCTCACCGTGAACTACGAGAGTTCTGGTCAGGAAACATACTCACTGTACAAGGGCGAGTGAGTATGTCGGATTCTTCAGCAGTATCGTGTTTTGTTTCACTGTTATCTTTGTGTTATCAGAAATAGTATTTTACCATTATATGTATATACGACTAGTTAATAGAAAACAGTTCGTTTTGGGGAGGAGTATGTTTGTGCAACGTCAGTTATATGTATAACTACCCTACCCGCTGTAACGAGCAATACAAATAAACTATACAACAGTGTCTCGTATGCCTCCGCCATGGAAGGACGGCAAAACAATCGGTGTTCTTTATTATTAATCAATCCGTATCACAAAAACACAACGTAGGGATCCCGCCCGTGCGCGATCACCTATATATAATTTACCTCTACTCCACCGAGGGTTTCTCGAAGCAAGATTCGAACTCATGATCCCGGATTGCCAGCCGCTTCTGTTTCCATCTGCTCTATTCTTGAATACATATTTTGATCATATGAGAGAAGTACCTATATGAAGCTCATCTTGAGTGACTTCTCTTGCAGTCGAATAATCATTGCCTTATGGTCATATAAACGTGCCTATCACTTGTGCTATTTTTAGCAACAAAATTGTGGTTGGTGGTTGGTCGAACGTAAACAATCATTTAAGAGTGCTTCAAGCAGCTTTTGAAGCTTCTAACGAAAAAGGCAATACAACTACATTCTTGTACAACTCTGGAAGCTATTATTCAACGTTTGATCAACTCAGGTGTTGTATAAGAGCTCCCAATGGTTTGTTTTGATGCATTTATTCCACGTTATATATAGCTCTTGTCAATCGGTTTAACTAAGGTGCTATAAAAGTTATCGTAGGTCTTATAAAGCATATAGTTAAACCGAACGTAAACAATCATTTAAGAGTGCTCCAACAGCTTTTAAAACTTTTAATCAAATGGCAATACAACTACATTCTTGTTCAACTCTGGAAGCTATTATTCAACGTTTGATCAACTCAGGTGTTTTATAAGAGCTCTCAATTGTTTGTTGGGAAGTCCATGAAACTGGTCCTAGAGCTCTACAGTTTTTTTTTTCAAAAATATTAGGAACTGTGATACAAGAGTGAATTTGGGGTCGTGACATAATTATGGTCCGGATGGCTATGGGCATCAGCCAATCAACGATCTTATTTATATGAAATTCCTCGACATTTTTGTGTACAAAGTGTTCAGCATCAGCTGAGGGTTTCAAAATGACCGAAGCTTAGCCAAAAATCTATTGAATTGAACCAGCAAACTTTAACTGCGTATGTGTGTCCGTGCACATTTAGAAATACAGTTGTTTTCGCACAACCTGATGCATTAGATTTGATCAAATTATTCGCAGTTCTATTAGTCCCACACACACATTTCAGAAGAACATCATTTTCCTCCATTTCGTATGAAATTAAACAGTATACATTTCCGGTGATCAATATGGTGAAAAGCGACGACGAGGAGAATAATAATTCCACTTTGTCCATAGTCATTCGCATATAATCTTCCAAAGAGCCAGTGCAGTATAAGTTCGCAACCATTATTCTTCTTCTTTGCATTTTAAGCATAGTACCACCATAATCTATGCTCAGGGAAGTTGAGAAATTTTCCAACCCGAGAAATTCCTAAATCGGAACAGGAATCGAATCCAGCCGCCTCCAGCATGGTCTTGCTTTGTAGCTGTGCCTTTACCAACTGAACTTAGGGGGGCCAAAGAGCTTGCAACCAAATGAGCTCAAATTTCGGGAGGATGATCATGATCTGATTTTGAACTAATTGAACTGGTTGGATCGAAATCTACATTTTTATCCACTCCACGGTGTCCCTGAAAGAAAACCTTAACCTCAGACTTAAGAAAGCAAGCATTGAAAATATATGAAAAAATTAATACTGTTGGATTATTTTGAAACTAACCTCAAATGAAAGAGGGGTTCGTTTGGTGTATGTTTCAGCGATACTGATTTTTTATGATAATATAATCCTCCCAGATACCGCGACCCTAGTGGACCATCTTCGCCGCTGTTAGGCGACCGCAAGGAATGTGATACCATCGGACACAAAACGCCAACACCAGTAACAGTTGTATTTTAAGTAGTTTTTGTTTTTATTTACTTCGCTTTATTGGCATTTAACACTTCGTACTCGTTACACAGTAAACCTAATCAAGAGTATGAGGAGGGGAGGGGTCGGCGTCATTGGTTGAGAGAACGGCGTGTCAGCCACGATGTTCGTCTCACCAGAAAAAAGGCGCACTTCTAACACGCACACACGCACTGGAACACATTCTCGTGTTCCACCGTCCGAGTACCAACTATCAATCCCAAGTTAATAAACTGACAGCAACCAAACTGTCACACAACTGGAAATGCGTGCTTCTATGTTCAAATGGAATTTGAAACGACGACGGCGGTGTGCGGTTTCATTACCGGGGGGATGGCTTCCGAAGAATAATTCAGTTTTTCTTTTCACTTATATACAAGATTTTCCCTAATGGATACAAATAACATTTTGCTCTTTTGTCTGTCACGAGATTATAAACGAACGGTTACCCTTCCTTATGCAAGTAAGAACAGTTTGAGTCCTAGATTTGTTCTAAACGCTTCCGCAACTTAACAGGTTAAATAGTTTAAAGTCTTATATCGATTTCAAAGAATTGGGGAAAAGGTGGGGATAAATATATGGACAGAGTGAGAGGGGCGAGGGAATTGGGATCGTAGGGGAACAGAAACTCAGCATTTAAATTAAACCTTAACACGACGCAAACAAAATAATAGATGGCTTCGCTTCGCAGACTAAACAACTAGACAAAACACAAAACTCTCTAGCTAATGTGTGTATGTGTGGGTGTGGGTGAGGGAAAGGGGGCGTATGGAACGCACCGGGGGACAGGACTTAGTACTGAATGTTGTGTCCCCTCAGGAAGGCATCGATCTGTCCGCTGGCATGTGACTGCTGTTGCGGCTGGATGTAGTAGTACTGCTGCTGCTGAGGCTGCGGGACACGGTGGGCCTGAGGAGAGGAAGCCTGATAGCGGTGTTGCTGAGGAATGTGTTGACCCTTCTTGGCAGCTTCCAACCGATCGTTACGCAGTTGGTTTTGCTGGAGTTCGAGCTGCTGAGCGAACAGCTGCTGGCTGTTGATGAACTGCAGGTCGTTCTGCTGCTTCTGGTAGAGTTGTTGGGGGATTTGGACCTGGGCTGGTGCTGGTTGAGGTTGGGTACGGTACAGAGGACTCTGCTGTTGGAGTTGATCCAGCGAAACCAGCTGAGACTGCTGATGCTGGACCGGGTTGTGGACGTATGGCTGAATGCGGTGGTTCAACCGGAAGTCACCTTCGCTCTGGGGCAGCTGTTGGTACAGGGCAGTGTCGTACTGGCCGGTCTGAGGATCGTACACCAGCTGAGACTGATAGATGGGGTTGTTGGTGACCTGTTTCGGCGTGGATGACGAGATAGGCTTGGCTGGAGTGGTTGATGGAACCTTGTTGTCTTGCTGGAATTTCTGGAACTCGGCATCAAAGTCCAGTGGTTGACGGGTACCGCCGAGGAGGGTGTTGGCCTTGGTAGTGGAGTAGTATCCAGATGCGGTGGTGGTGTCTGGGCGGTAGGTCGTTGGTGGAGGTTGGGTCTGGAGAGAGTTCTGGGCTGGTAGTCGGTAGATTGGCTTTGGAGTGATGTTCACCGGAACGGTCTGAGTTGGGGTATGGTAGACGGTGTTGGGGGTAGTGCTCACAATCTGGACTCGCGGACGCTGGGTAACGGTCTGTGGCTGTTGGTTAGCGAAAGGACGAGCAGCTGGGCGACCACGTTGACCGATCTGGACTTCCTCTTCGGATTCTTCCTGGTTGTAGTTGCCAGAGTTGTAGTTGTTCTGGAATACGGTAGTTGGGCGAGCAGTTGTTTGGATTGGACGGGTTGGACGAGCAGCAATTGGTCTCTTGGGGTAGTTCTGGGGGACATTTTCGTTAGATTCTTCTTCGGACTTCTCATCTTCTTCGCTGCCATCGGGGTTGTTGGGATCACATGGGTTTCCGGACACATAGGTGAACTCACGTTTGTTACCGTCAGGGTCGATGTAACCGTACTTGCCTCGAACGACGCAATCGGTACCACGGGTTTCCTCCTTGAACGATCCATCGGCAGCTTCGTAGCCGAAGGTAAATGATCCATCATCGTTGACCTTGTTGTAGTTACGGATGGTCTGCACCGGTGGAGCTCGCACTTCTGGGACCTTTTGGCGGGCAGCAATCGGGGTGGCAGTAGTAACCTTCACGGCCGGTCGGTAGGTATCGGCACGTGCCCGTGGAGTTGGTGCTCCATACTGGCCGTTGTAGTCCTCTTCACTGGATACCAGGACCAACTGTCGCGGATCTTCCTCCTCACGGGGCTGGGCGCGGTAGTACTGGATGGCTTGCTGTGGTCGGTTGTCCTGCTCTTCGGCACTGTCCAGCTCGGCACTGTTCTGTTGTTGTTGCTGCTGTTGCAAGACTCGTGGACGCACCCTTAGCCGGCGCTGCTGCTGTTGGGCCTCGGTGGAACATGCCAGGAGTACGGCCACTCCGGCCACCAGCAACCACTGTGGAAAAAAAAGAGAAAGCAAATAGCAAGGATTAGTATTAAACACCCATTGTCTTGCTTGCAATTAATCAGATCATCGGAAGAGGAATCGAAAAACAACACTTCCGACCGGTGGTGGTGCTAGAGCAGTCGGTTGGCAAGCGGCAATTAATAACAATGAACTACCACCGTCATCGGTCGCGGTGTGGGTGGAAAGAGGAAGCGCTCACACTCTAATGACAGTAATAACTACGACGACTGGCTGACGAGGTGGCGCTTGGCATGATATTATCCGATGAAATAATGATGGATAACGAGCATGGTCTGAGACAATGGACTCATCCACCCGGGCGAGGTGACGTTTTTGCGATTGTTTCGCCGCTCTGCCGCGCTCGCTGCCAGGAGTTAAAGTTTCGAACAGCACGCGATAAAGCACGATAAGGCAGAAAGGGCCGTTTTCCGACATGAATTATTCATTCCGCGGAACGGTGGATGAAAGCGATACTGGGAACTGGCGGTGTTTTTCACTCTTGGTCGGTGCTCGATTAGGCTAATTGATGGTGACAGAATTGGAGGGAATTTGTGTTTCGAGTGGGAAGCTGTGACGGTGGGGCTTGTTTCGCTTTCGCTCTCTATATTTTGTTGGTCATTATAAATTGATGGCAAGGGTTACCTTTTGAACCGTGGTAATCAATTTGTGTTGTCAATGAAACTGTAGAACAACATCGTAGGAAGAGTGATGATGGATTGGAAGACGAACTGGCTATTGCGATGGGTCCTTCGAACGATGTTCCATTTGATTGTTGTTCTTTAACTCGATAGAGCCTTCAATATCGATTTCCAGGGAGAAGAATGTACGCTGGAGAAACTTTGGTATTTATTTGTAGCAAAATCAGTAAGTAACCATCTTGACAAAAGTTGCCACAGGGCCCGTCTGCTGCTGTAGTCAAACAGAAGGGGAAAATTATGGTAAATATTTAAACATGAAATCGAAATTTTATTGATTTTTCGACAATACAGTGCAGTGACTGTGGGTGGTCGTGGGTAGTTATTGACTACCTAATACTAAAGCCAATAAGAGTCCAATGACTTATCTATTGCTCTGATGCGTGGTATTTATATCCTGGTTCATCATCAGGAAAATGTGACTGTATTTACAGAATTTTATATGAATATTATGGTAATATCAAGAACTTAAAAATTTACAAAAAATTAACATGATTCAAGGCAAATGCATTAATTAAAAAAAAACGATATTTTCAATAAATTCCTGCGATCTTCAAAGAACTTTCAAATCAATTTAGAAACTTTTTGATAGTTTGATAGTGTTAAGGGGAGTTGCTGTGACTGCTGAAGTGTCCAGACTTTTGGAAGAGTTTAAAAATCTATAAGGACAGCTCCATGATTTTCAAGGGTAAAAAAATACGAGAACCCTTAAGTTGTTCCGAAAGTTTTAAGAAAGTATAGAGTCCATCAGATAACTTATGAAAACTTCAGACAAATTACGAAAACTTTCGAAATATTTTGGGACTTTCATAGAGTCCCAGAAAACTTTAGGAAAGTTTGAAATTGTTTAGAAAAGTCCCATTTAATTCAGAGCAGAACCAAGATATTGAAGAATTGTGAGCTTCAGAGAAATTTATTTCATCTCGACAGGTCAGAGAACCAAAGGGCAGTTCAAATAATGTTGCAGAAAACTTACAGCAGTTTCGAGAAATTCAGGGAAATTTCGAAAACTTCATCAAAGCTTCGATAGCATTTCTAGAACGTAAGGGAAGTTATAGTAACATCAGAAAAATGGGAGAGTATTTATAAAATATTAAATAATTATTATGGTAATATCAAGAACTTAAAAAAATTGGCGAATATTTAACAAGATAAGAGAATTTAAAGGAAAATCCATTATTTACAAAAAATGTGACGTCTCCAAGAAATTCCACAGATCTTCATAGAAATTTAGAAACTTTTAGGTGGTTTCATGATATTCAGAGAAGTCCCGCGTACATCGAGAGATGTTAAGGGCAGTTCCTATAACTGCAAGGAAATCCAGACTTTTGAAAGAGTTTAAAAATCTATAAGGACAGCGCCAGGGGAAAAATACGAGAACTCTTAGAATGTGACGAGAATTTCAAGGAAGAATAGAGTCAATCAGAGAACTCATGAAATCATCAGAGAAATTAAAAATTTTTCAGAAATTTAACGGAACCTTCACAGAGAGGTCAATAAAGTTTAAAAGTTTTTAGGAGAGTCCTATTCATTTCTGAGCAGAGTCAAGATATTGAAGAACTGTGAGCTTCAGAGAAAGGTCGTTTAAATAATTTCAATTAAATTGCAGAAAGCTTCAGAAGTTTCGAGAAACTTCGGAATCTTCAGCAAAGCTTCGAGAGAATATCTAGAACGTAAGAGAAGTTTTATTAACATCAGGAAAATTTGAGAGTATTTAAAGAACTTTATAACTTATATGGTAATATCAAGATCTTGAAAAATCGACGAAATTTTTACTAAGCTGATTAAATAGCTTCAAGACTGTTCTATTAATTAAAAAAAATTAAAATGGTGGGGTTGTGTACAAAATACGACCACATGGTTGACGTAGACAACGTTGAGATGTTTAGTGAACTTCTCGTGCATTTTTCTTGATATTGATTTCCGTTAGGGATATTTCCGCATATGAAACACTTGTTTTTAATCCTCCGGTATAAATTATATTCCCCGTGCACACTTCCATGCCCATCCCATCTCCGTTGAACATTTGTTATGGATAACACGTTTAACAAAACGCTTGATCACAGTGGCATACCTCCGGTGGGAAATCGTTCACAACCACGTATTGCATATCCCAGCCAAGTAACATTGTTTAACATGTTTTATTGAGGTTTTAAAGCACTCTACAAGTCTACAGTACCCTCATAAAACGCAAACGGCCACCACCGGGTAGTGGTTCGAGCTCAGCTCCTGGAAAGCCACAGGTTGCGAGATGTTGTGTCCCATGTTACTGGCGACATGGACCCCAGACCCACCCACTAAACCGGGTGGGAGTGTCCGGAGTCAAGATGGTATAGTGGCCCTCTGGCAGGTCTTCATTCAGGATGGTGCCGTTTCGATTGCTCGGACCGTTGCCCCAAGCTTGGTGTTTTGCGTTCAGGTTGCCAGCGATGATAAAGTTCCCGCACCTCCGGGTGAGTTTTATGATGTCTTTCCGGAGGGCCACTGACGACCCGTCCCTGATGTTGCTTTGCTTGGAGCAGTAGGCCACGTGATTGATCAAGTGATGTGCTCACCTTCACTCCGATAACTTCGATTGTTTTCAGCTGGAAGTTTGGTAGCAGCCGGCAACTGATGTTCCGTCTTGCAGCGATGGCCACTCCCCCACCCCTGGAGCAGGTGCGGTCACGTCTGACGAGCCGAGTCGTTCAGTTCGGGCTTCAAGTGCGTCTCGGTGATGATAGCAATGTCGATCTCCTTGGTGTTAGGGTAATCGAGTAGCTCTCTATGCTTGTTCGTCAGCTAGATTCGTCAACTGAATCGCCTGAGGCAACACGGGCATACGATAGTCCAGGCGCCGAGGGAGAAATTTGATTTGGCAGGGCCGCTGCAGCAGTGAGGCGATGTTGAGCTGAGGGGGCGGCTCGTTGATTGTTGAGGGGTAGCGGTGGGAGATTTGGGACCAGGCGACGAGGCTGGATTTCCGGGTATTGTTCATCCGTGATGACATCTAGTGTACGTTTGTTTCGATGCCGGCCCGGCTGGTTGCTAGTAGCCACCTTCTTCCTAATGTTGATGGGGGCAGTCCCGAGTAGTGGCCCGGTGCGAACCGCCGAAATTCACGCACTTCGGCTCGGTGTCATTAGCTTGAGCACAGGTCGCCGTCGAGGGCAATAGCACACTTGTCGCAGCGTGGTTTCATATGACAGTTCTTCGTGCCACGGCCAAAGGAGAGGCAACTTGTGCATTGGGTCACATCACGATGTTGTGGTTTGTACACACTTAGAAAAAATCATGTAAATTTAGGTGCTCTGAGAGTGACATATACGAGCGTCAATTTTGACATAAATTTGAGTCATAACAGACGGGAAATATAGCTCAATCAAACGTACTTTTCGTCGAGCAGCAAACTTTTCAGTCTCGGGGCACTTAATTTTACACAACATGTTTGTTTACCTCTCATCTTTTATGTCAAAGACGGATTCCGTCACGTGTAAAATTAGTTATTTTTAAGTGTGTAAGATTCCCAGTAGATAATTACCTGAAACAGGTCACGTATGTTGCTCTTCCGCGCAGCAAAGGTGGTGTAGCCCTTCGTGAAGTGGACCAGAAACAGCTGGTCACGATTGGCGTTGACGGCACCGTCGAAAAATTTGCTCTTCCAGCAAATATAGACAGTTTCATATGGGAATTTTCAGTGGAGTGAAAGGATAGTACAAAGTCCGCCATGTTTCACGCACAGTCTGACGTTTGCTTATGAATTTTCTCAAAGGAGTAAAGAGCTACAGAGTCGCCGTCACAGCCAATAGTTAGTATTGGACACAGGCCGTCGATTCATTGGGTGGAGTGCCTCTGATTTCAACCTGAGCCTCATCTGTTCATCTTTTACAGCCGCTTCGTACGACGGCAGTTCCCTTAAAACAATCTTCAATGGTTTCACCGAAGGCAAATCGTGGGTGTAAAACTCCACCGTACTGTTCTTCAGTAGGTCACATTCTTTGGTCCTACACTACAGATCTTGAATCGCGGGAACAATTTGATTTTTTCCAGCTCATCCCTAAGCTTAGCGACGTCCTTCATCGGGGTAAACAGCGGGGGAATCCACTCCTTTTTGGCAATTTCAGCGGCGTCACCACCGCCATTTTCCATTAGCTGCGTCATCTGAAGCAGCTCTGGCGTCTATTTGGGCCTTTTTACTAGGGTCCTCCAAAGCAGGAGTAGAAGAACGCTTGCGTACCATGCTTTGTTTAGTGGCAAGTGCAATTAGACTTGCCAATGTGCCTGTCGATAACGGCACTTCCATGACGTGAACGT